GTGGTTCAACATTCGTAAGTCAATAAACGAAATAAAACATATAAAGGACTTAACAGACAAAAACCACATGGCCATCTCAATAGATGCAAAAAAAGGCATTTGACAAAATCCAACATGCATTCATATTAAAAGTCCTAGAAGGAATTGATTTGGAGGGAACATACCTCAACTAGTTAAAGCTATATACAACAAACCCATAGCGAACATCATCCTAAATGGAAAAAAAGTGGAAGCATTCCCATTAAAATCAGGAACCAGAGAGGGCTGCCCACTGTCTCCACTCCTTTTAAATATAGTGCTTGAAACCCCTGCTAGAGCAATAAGACAAGAAAAGGAAATTTAAGGAGTACCAATTGGAAAAGAAGAGGTCAAATTATCCCTATTTGCAGATCGTATACATATGAGATCCCAAAAATTCCACTAGAAAACTGTAGCCTTTCTATATACCAATAACAAGCAGTCAGAAAAAGCACTCCCATTCTCAATAGCCTCAAAAAAAATTTTCTTTTTTGGGGGGTGGGGGGGATAAACCTAACCAAAGACATTAAAGATCTCTACAGTGAAAATTTCAAAACTCTAAAGAAATAGATAAAGGAAGACACTAGGAGATGGAAGGACCTATGGATTGGTAGAATCAGTATTGTGAAAATGACCATCTTACCAAAAACAATTTATAGATTCAATGAGAAATATTTTTAAATGTTCATCATCTTTAGCCATTAGGGAAATGGAAATTGAAACTGCTTTGACATTTCATCTTACCCCAGTAATAAGTAAGAATGACTAAGATCTAAAAAACAATAGGGGACAAATGCTGGTTTGGCTGTGGCAAAAGGGGAACGCTTATTTACTGCTGGTGGGAGTGCAAAGTGGTGGAGCCACTATGGAAATCAGTGTGTAGGTTCCTCAGAAAGCTAGAAATAGATTTGTATGATCCAGCCAGCCACCCATGTGCTCGTTAGACTCTGTATCCTATTCAGAGATTTCTGCTTATCCATGTTCATTGTTGCTTTGTTCACAATAACCAGGACGTGGAAAACCTTGATGCCCATAAACTGATGTATCATCAAAGTATTCCATTTACATCATGGACTGTTATTCAGCTGTTGAGAAAAATGAAATTATGAAATTTGTAGGTAAATGGATGGAACTGCAAACAGTCATCCTAAGTGAGTTACTCAGAAAGACAGACATCACGTATTCGGTCTCATAAATGCATGGTAACTTTGATTCTTTAGACAGACAGCTGGGTTTTTTTTTGTTTGTTTTTTTCTTTTGGTCTTTTTGAGACAGGTTCTCCCTGTATTCCCAGCTGGTGTGGAACTTGCTATGTAGACCAGGCTGGCCTCAAACACACAGAGATCTGCCTGCCTCTGGCTCCCAAGTGCTGCCCCCCCTAGACAGCTCTGTTTCAAATGGAAAATCCGTAGCGGTCAGGAAACTTAATAAGGGGCCATGCGGGATGATTCATGGGAGGGGAGGAGATAGAATGAAATGTTATAAATGGGGGAACGCCATAATCAAATTCCATTCTTCGTGTACTTTTAAAAAATTCTTTATCTAGTTTTGAAGACAAAAGTAAGTGTTAATCATCCCATTAGTGCAAAGGATTCCAATAATGTATAATATAGCACTTTGAAAATATTTCCATGCATTTAAGATAGGAGATTGTTTCCATGGAATGCATGGTAGGTGTAATATTCAGAATGGAATGCTGTGGAATGATGAACACTTGTTTTATGTTCTTTGCAAAATACATGAAAACATACATTCTAGGTCATTAAGACATTAGTAGCATCTTGGCGTGTGTATCATGCTTCGTAGAAGACTTCAGCAGAATCATTTATGTAAAGACAAAGAATATCCATGTTGTCTGATGCTATTTTTGCAGAAAATGGTCATCTGTAATAGGTTTGTTTTGTAAACTTACTTTACTCTGTAGCACGGCATTTTTAGAAGCTATTTTGCGGTAGCCTTTCAAGACTTAGCTCTTTTATTTCCATTGATGTTTTCAAAGATGATGCACATTGCCAGTACAGCATGTCTTCATAAGGAAAACAGTGTGCTTCCTAAACAGTCAGAATTGAAATGATAAAATTGTGATTTTTATTTGTTTATTTATTTATTTTTAAAGATTTATTTTATTTTATTTTTTTGTCTTTTTGAGACAGGGTCTCCTTGTAGCCCCAGCTGTCCTGGAACTTACTATGTAGACCAGGCTGGCCTCGAACTCACAAAGATTCACCTGCCTCTGCCTCCCAAGTGCTGGGATTAAAGGCATGCACCACCACTCCTGGCAAAATTGTGACTTTTAAATCTTTAATGGACAAGGCTTCAAGGAGATGGTGCAGAGTTCCTGGTTTGAGTAGTGCTAGCCTGTCCCATTCCCTCTATGGTTTCAGGCCTGATCTTGAATGATGTCAGGGTCCTAGGAGGGTAGGAAGTAAAGGTGGTAATTGAGTTCTTTGGGATTGGAGCTGCTGCCAGTCCCTAAAGATGGAGCACAGCTGGCACAGTCCATCCCATCTAGGGCTTCAGCTAGAACTGCTTTTCTCCCAGAAAAGCATTCACATAAGGTTTGGAGCTTTGCCATGATGTGTCTGTGAATTCTACCTACAGTTTGCCTCTTTTTAATTTTGGTTCCAGTATCTAGAATATGGTCTCGTTGTACTGTTACCTCTAAGGCTAGAGGTCTGTGGAAAGTTTTAGAAAATAAAAATGCGAAGCTTTCATTTAATGAAAATGAAGTACACAAATGAAAATGAAAATGACAATCCAGTTGCAATTAAATTGATAGGATTAAGTACTTTATGTCAGAAAATATATTTAAAAGTTGTAAATTCATTGAAAGTAATGTTTTTTAGAATTATTTCGGCAAAATTTGCCTTGGAACTGTGAAATTTATTATACTTTCTTTTTGAGGCGTGCCAGTGGGACAGGCATTCACCTTGAACCCCAGACTTGTCTTAATCCCATCTGATATCTTAGCTGCTAATCTTGGTCTTTAGATTCCTTGGCTAAAATTTTGAATGTTGGATCTTTCCCTCGGAAGGTAGCTGGGGACGCAGAAGGTGTGTGTGGAAGCTGCTGCCTGACGGCCAAGGTTCGCAGCCGCTGGCCTCCTCCTGTGTTCTCAGAGCCATCTTGTCCCTACTGTGAAGAGTTCATGTCCATGTTGAAAGGAAGGCCCCGGAGTAACCTTTGAAAAGGCTTGTGTTTATGATACGAAACATTGGAAAGAAAAGAGTTTGAAAAAAGCATAGCAGAAGGTGAACAGGAAACAAAGCTCCTAGAGAGCTTCTCTTGAGGCACAGCAGCTCTTCACGTTGGCAGTGGGGTGAGGTCTTTCTGTTCACGTGATCGAGGCTGTTGTAAGTGAAAACTAAATTTAAAGAGTGGGCTTATTAATTAGCTTTTGATTCCTTGGGGACGTTTCACCTGTAGAACTTTATCAAACTCTTTAGTCTTCTTATTTTGTACTGTGTTCTTAAGTGACCCCCAAGTCAGTAAAGGGGGTGTATATAGCTAGGTTCCTGGGAGGGTGGCAGATGACTTACATGTCCTTCAGAGGCAGTAATGATTGTAATGGCAGAATGGTGAACTTCCCACCCCGTAATGGTCCAGCAGGCCTCAGAAAGCGCTTACCCTGGTAGACTACAATGTGGGACATCATGGTTAACTGCTGGTAATTACCAGATGAGAAAGGTTTTTCTGTGTGTGATACTGTAGCATTGACATTTTGGCGCTCCCTGGATTGCTCACTCTAGAAATTGTGTGGTTCTTGTTTCTGAGCCTATGAGTTACTGCAGTCCTCTTTCTGGGAGCTTTTAGGTTAGGGAGATAAGGAAGGAGAGAGAGGATTTTAGTAATTTATTTAGAACCATTATAGTCTTTTGACTTCACGTTTATAAAGTTTCTAAAATATTTGGGGAAGGGAAAGACGATTCTTTAAAATTGAAGTTTATGAAATTCTTCTGATTTGATTCTAAGTGCTTGTATAGGTGCCCTGAGCACGCAGAATGATGTCTATTAGAAGGAATTACATGGTGGGACTGGAGAAATGGCTCAGCGGTTAAGAGCTCTTCCTGTTGGAGAGGACTAGAGTTCAATCCCAGAACCCACATTGGGTGGTTCACAACTGCCTTTAACTCCAGTGCCAGGTGATACAGTGCCCTCTTCTAGCCTCTGTAGGCTCACAAACATACACATAAATAAAAGTAAATCCTTAAATAAAAGAATGAAATAGAAATTCAGGTATTTGGTATCTTTGGTTGATTTGACTACTAATTTGATATGGCACATTTGTGGCGTTTACATTTGATATCTTTTCTAGTATTGCAGTTGGATATTTTTTTCTAGAAAGATGGTATAGGTAATATTATGTATTATTTTTCATGTTTTGATTGTTAGCCTTACCCTTTAACGGCTGCACTATCCCTCCAGTCCATGTTATGTATTATTTTTTTAAATACATTTCAGAGGAGGTTATATATCATGTCCATTTTGATTTTTCAAAAATGATTAGAATACTCTTCCAGTGGATTTGAGGTCAGCTACCTTGAATTGGTGTTTTATTTAAAAAGTTGTATGTGGGGCTGGAGAGATGGCTCATTGGTTAAAAACACTGGCTGGTCTTACAGAATGTAGAAGACTTGTGTTCGAATCCCAGCACCTACATGGCAGCTAACAACTGACTGTAACTTCAGTTCCAGGGAATCCGACAGCTTTTTCTGTCCTCTGTACAGCATTGGACAACACGGGTACACTTACATACATGTAGGCAATACATGCATACATATGAAAATAATAAAATTTTAAAAAGTGTAGACATAGAAACTTTAGTTCAGTGGCTCACTTCTATTAGCAGTCAGTTTTTATTATATTTAATTAGACATTTTATGTATTTTGCTATAAGGACTTCTTGTATTTCTCTTAAGATGTTTAAGTGATGTGCCAGGATTTTATGATTTTTATGTGAATAATGTTCTCTGTGTCCTCAGGTCCCATGATGCATCAGCAGCCCCCTTCTCAGCAGTACAGCATGCCACCTGGAGGCGGGCAACATTACCAGGGACAGCAACCCCCCATGGGCATGATGGGTCAAGTCAACCAAGGCAATCACATGATGGGCCAGAGACAGATGCCTCCCTATAGACCACCACAACAGGGTGAGAACCCATTTGGAAAATTTCTTGCTTAATATAAAGGACAGTAATTGGAAGGCTTTAAATTTTAACAGATTTCCATCTTGGTAAATTTGAAGCTTTTTGCTTGATTCCCTTAACATGCCAAAACATAGTGGGGTTTGTGGGTACAGAGGGTCCTGTGTGCAGCTTGCTTTTGTCTCTTATTTTCTGGGAAAAAATAAAATTTCTATCAGACGCTCACTCATTTGCAACAGAAAATGCTCCCCCCTTTAACACGCTGTTAAATATACGAGCAGGTAGAAGCCGAATTTTGCTTCAAAGTGCTCTAATACTAAAATAAAAAATCAGTTTTCTAGCAGGTTCAACTTCTTTTTAAGAAGTTAGTATTGTAATAATACATGTACGGTCTTGTATTAATTTTATAAATGTGACTTGTAGACCTGCTGTGTGTGTGTGTGTGTGTGTGTGTGTGTGTGTGTGTGTGTGTGCATGTGAGCAATTAAAACATCCGAAATGCTCCAGCACTGAGGGGAGTCCGCAGCTGACAAGTAATCTCTCATAACAGCAGATTAAAAAGAAAGCCTTTGATGACATAGAGAACAAATGATTTACGTCTTGACTGGTTGTGATTTTTCAGGCCCACCACAGCAGTACTCAGGCCAGGAAGACTATTATGGGGACCAATACAGTCATGGTGGACAAGGTCCTCCAGAAGGCATGAACCAGCAATATTACCCCGATGGTAATTTCTCCTACTCTTAACCTTCCCATTGTCTATCCCTGCCCAGTATTAATGTAGAAAGCATTTCAAAACATTTTACTGAAAATGAAGAAACTACCAGCCTGTTTCTTCTACCTTTAGAACGAGCCTCCTACAGTACCAACAATAAGCGCATCTGTTGATAGTCTAATCAAAGTCTGTTTTGTGTAGTTACTCCATTAGTGCCATCAGGAGTTGCATTCTGTCGCGGGGATCCTTTCTTATGCAAAAGAGGATCCATTTATATGTGGGATTGCTCATTTGAACCAAAGTAAATGTTACTGATTTATCTTTTTTAGTCATGTCTTTGTAGAGATTTGATTCACACACTATGGAGTTCACCCATTGGTTTACTTTTATGCATTGTATATAAAGAATACAGTTCTGAAGAACTATAGAGAATATAGTTCTTGAATATTTTCCCAACTTTTGTCACTTTGGTTAATGCTACATTCTTGTCAAAGGACTGTATTTATGCACTTCAGTGCTTGCATCTGAGTGAAGTTTTGTCCATACACAGCTGTATGTAGCTTTGATAGAGTAAAGAAGGCATCTAGAAACCAGCTTTAGTTATTTAGTTTAGTGTCCCCTCTTAAATGGGAAGGTTCTGAATTGTGGAAAGTTGATTGTATTGAAAAAGTGTTGCACTCTCAGAAAATACAATGATAATTCAGGGACACACTGGATTTTTACTGTGCAGTTTTAAAATTTTTGTTTGAAAATTTTATGATACATTGTTGGAAAAAACCATATGAAACTGACAAAGCAGGTGACTGTATTTTATATTGATTTGTCTTATTATGAAATGGTTTGCCACAATATTTATCTAAATAGTATAGTAAACTCCTTTGGTATTTTTAATGTAAATTATATGGTAAAGAAACTTGGCTAAAGTGATGGGTCCCTTAGCTAGAACCTAATGTAAGTCAGCAGGAAGATGGAATTTGGTGTGTTACAAAAGCCATTTCATCTTCACTTTTCATCAGTGTATGAAATGTAAAGATAGGGCATACTTGAAGATGCTGACTTTCTCTGTAGAGGCTTTAACTTTAAATAGGGTGAAAAAGCACATGCCTGTTAGATTCATACACAGTAATTAGCAGCAATAATGATGGTAGATCCAGATAATTCTGGTTAAAACTATTTTTTATTTCATATTTTCTTGCCTTGACATTTCAGAATGTTGACCTTTTTTCTTTCCCTGTTCACATGTAGATATGATATTGGGACTTTTAAAATTTAAAACTTTAATAAGTTTATAGTAGACTTACAGATAATTATAAAAGGTGACCTCTATCTGGTAAATAATATGCATTAAATTGGAGAATCAATTATTGTTTTAATAACTTTTAAAGTATGTCTTAGGCAGTTACATTGAACTTGATATTTTTTGGTCCTGAGTATTTCCTGGAATGTGAAATTTGTCTTGTTATAAACATAACCTTTCAGTTCAAAATAGATGTTATTTTTGTAAATATTAAAACTTAAAGTTACTAATTTCTTAATGTTAGTAGATTTTTTATTTAAATGGTATTTTTCATAGAGTATATACACATGTCTTGACAGGCACACAGTGTCAGTTTAGAGCAGCAATTTTATTTCTTAAGCAGCACTGGTGTCTTCTCACACTGAGGTAATCATGCTCCTAAGTGCATAGAGGAGTGCATCGCCCCCTCTGGTGCAGGGCCAGCTGTTTTGGTCTCTGCCACCATGTGGTCTTGCTCTCATTTACGGAACTCCTACTAATAGCAGGAGAGCTACGGAGCATGCTTCAGTGAATGGGCGGCACTGTACCACAGTAAAACAGCGGCACTGGCCATGTTAGACTGCAGGCCATATCTTGCCAACCCTTACAGTGGTTTGGTAGCCTTCAAATATTAAAACAATGAGTGTAGCATTTATATCTAACTATGGTCCTCCTTCCTAATTAGGCGTTCTTAAAAAAATTAATTCTGCTGGGCATGGTGGTGCACACCTTTAATCCCAGCACTGGGAAGGCAGAGGTAGGCGGATCTCTGTGTTTTTTGAGGCCAGCTGGTCTCCATAGCAAATCCAAGCTGACTGTGGCTACAGGGAGACCGTCTCAAAATAAATAGATAAATAAATAAATAAATAAATAAATAAATAAATAAATAAATAAAATTCCATGTTTTAGCAATCTAAAGCATTAAATTGTCTAGGCCTGGCTCTCTTAAATCTGGGCTTTTCTCTTTTTCTTCCAGATGTATTCAGAGTTCACATAAAAAGAGAAAGAATAGAGGTGAGGGTGT